GTCCGTGGGAACTTGAAATACCTACAAATGTTGTTATATTTGAGCGATCGCCGTCCACAATGTCTCAGCCACATCCAGATATCGAGTTTTATCGTGGAAATTTGGTAGCAAAATTAAGACAATGTTACCAAGAACTATGTCAGTCTCGAGAGAGTAAGTATTCCAGTATAATTGTATAACTTAAAAATTACATTGTATTCATAAATCTTTTTCATAACTAGACATCAATGCACCAAAAGAATCCTTCAATCGTTGGCTTATTGAAAGAAAAGTAGTTGATACAGGAACTGATCCATTATTACCCTCTCAATGCTACCCGGAAGTGTCTTTAAGAATGTATAACGAAATAATGAATGATATACCATTAAGATTGTCAAAGCCTAAGTATACTGCAGATGCTCGGAAACAACTATCTATATACGCTGAGGCAGCAAAAMATCTCATTGAGTCTAGGTATATTATTTAATTTAATAAATTGTTCCATATAAAAAAAGATTAGAAAAAAATGTTAAGTTTTATAGTTGTGATGTCATAATTTATTGTATTCTTTTAAGTAAACCAAAAATTAGGTGCTCAATACCTTTATTATTATTTTGGATTTTATTGTATTTGGTATATCAAAACATTTATTAGTTAACTAAGTTTTTTTATAGCATTTGCTATTTTTACAGTATTTAATTTTATGTTGACCATCCAAATAAATCTACAATATTAGGATTGTTTAATATTGACATCTTGTAAAGTATTCTGGATAAGATTTAATTTCATGGTTAAATATCCATGTCATATCCCGAGTCTGACGAACAAAATAAGAATCKGGGAAATCATGACAAAAGCATAACTATTTTAGTGCTCAATTTCTTCTGTTTTAAATATTCTTAATTTTTTCATGAGTTATATAACTGTAAAAGTAGYMAAATATTTTCTTAACAAATGTATGCAATATCAGTTACTTTAAATAATGTTTTGAACTACTTCAATAAAATTAAGTATCAGGAATGTTTGATGTTGATTGTCTTGCTATGCTTTTTGAATATTCTTTGTAATTTATGTTTAAATTTTTTAATATTAACTATTTTTTAAAGACCATATTAATTTTGTCTAATTTTCATTTAAGGATTAATGTAGTCTATTATATAATTCTCCATTATTAATTTATTAATTTGTGTGTTGCGTAGAAACACACTGCAAGAGAGTAGAAAGGTTGTAAAATGGAACACTGAAGATACATTGCAGTGGTTGAGGAAGACAGTTGGTGCTACRTATGTTGATTTCCAAGAGCGATTAAACCATCTTAAGGTAAGAAGTACAGAAAAATAATTTAAAAAACAATATTTTTTATGACATTTTTTAATATATATTACAGWTGCAATGTCAACCGCATATAGCTCAAACCGTTAAAGAATCTGTAGAAGGCATCTGCTCAAAGGTATACCRTTTATCTGTTGAATATGCTCGCAAAGTCAAAGAAAAAAATAGTGAGCTTTTGATTGCACAAGGAATTACAGGTTTGTAAATTATTATTTTTGGACTATTTTTCTTGATTAACATCTCCATTATGATACTTGATTTTGGTAGCATTTTGGTTTACCAAGAACATTCTAGTCATTATATACATATAAGTATACATTAWATTGATTAAAGTTATTATTATTTGTGTGATAAATTATTATTATAATGTTTGTCAACAAAACAACTGATAATGTTAACAAGTATATTTAACTAGAAATCATGATTAATAATATAGTTTTTAAAAAATTAATACATTTGTATGAATGACTGTCTTATCACATTAAATAATAAATTATATGTATATATATTAATACATTTCAATATGTGCTTAGAAATGGCACCAGCTCCTGCAGTGTTAACTTTACACAAAGTTTGGTGTTATCCCGTTCAATTTGTTACACCGGCTCCTCGTCTCCCGCCTGTAGAGTACATGGCTGACAAAGAACAGACTTATGTCCGGTTTAATGGAGAGAGGTTACTCATCAATACTGTGTACCTTCAAAAGTTGGTAAGTGATTTTATGACTGATTATTAACTATGTAACTACTGTAGTAGTTAGATATTAATCATTAAATAAATCTTTGATTATTATTTATAGGAACAATTGTACCGCTACAGCTGTTATGAAGACAAAAAAATGGAAAACTTCATGGCTAGAGTTTGGTGTTTGTTGAAAAGGTACAATGTCTTCTGCTCTAACAGTCCTGATACACAAGTTTCAGTGCCAGTGCCTATCCTAGAATCTCTGCACAGGAATTTTGGTGTGACATTTGAATGTTTTGCATCACCTCTAAATTGCTATTTCCGGCAGTATTGTTCAGCGTTTCCAGACACCGATGCATATTTTGGATCCCGAGGGTTTGTTT